CTAGATAAATTCTCAGTCAGTAAGAGATTTAGCACACTAGATAAGAGGAAATTGACAAGGTTTTGATCTCAAACTATGAACGCTAAAACTAGGTACACATTTTATGTCCCTGTAAATACCAAGTACCAAGTCTCATCATTTTTGTTACTCCACCCACAGACCCTAACACATTCCCTCTCATATTATAGTTATTCAAGGTAGGATGGTTGCTTAATGTACTCTCTAGAGAGAGCTACCAACTATTCATTCTCAACACAAAATAATGCATTAGATGTTCCTTCACAAGTAAATATATAGACAGATCAAATCTTGGAAGTAAGTACCTCCTTTAGGGAATCATATCCATATCAAAGTCAGATAACCTGTTTCTTTGTTTCTTTCTTCCTTTTTAATTTTATTTATTTATCTTTTTTGCTGAGGAAGATTTGCCCTAACATCTGTTGTCAATCTTCCTCTATTTTGTATGTGAGTCACTGCCACAGCACGGCTGCCAATGAGTGGTGTTGGTCCACACCTGGGAAGTGAACCCAGGCCCCCAAAGTGGAGCTGCCAAACTTAACAAGTACGCCACTGGGGCTAGCCCTCTCAGTTTTTTTAAAGCACTCTAGAGAAATTATCCCACAATCTGTACCTATGTCACTTTCCATCTCAAACAACCAGTAATGCTGGGAATTTCTCCCGTAATTTATCTTAAATATTCAAACAAACTTTCTGAAGTTTAGGACCATTTCCCTGGTCCCTCTAGACTTTGTCCTCCATAGAAGTAAAAATGAGCATAACTCCAGATAAACATAAACATGTTTTATTTTCCTTCAGCTGTTCTTTTCTAACTGTTAAAGGTCTTCATGTCCCTCATCGGAGGTGACGTTTCAAAACTGAGTTCTCTTTTAAAGGTTCTTATAAATCTTGAGTGTTATGAAAGAATTAAGTGTTTGAGAATATTAATCAGAACACTTTGAAAGATGCAGAGTTAGAAATAAGCCAACACATAATCCACTAAAACTTGAACATACAAATTAATTTCCTGATTTTACTGCTCAATCTTCACTTTTTCTCCAGTCAGCTTTCATAAGAGACTCCACGTCTGTTTGCAAAGACGACCAAGTAAATGAATGCTACTGTGTGCAGCCTCTGCTTCAGAGGGAATGGCTTCCAAACATACATAAATAAAATCAGTATCAACAGTTCCAAAGCACATTCTCCAAGACACTATTTTAAGGACAAGTAATAGGCTCCTCTCTAGCAACAACAAAAAAAATCAGGACATGGAGACTTTTAAGAGTAGGAATAACACAAATTAAACTGGAAAAAAGCCTGAGAAGACAGCACAATGCATGTGAAAACCTTATTAAGGTTGATAATATGACCTGGTATAGAACTACCCAATTTCTTCAAAAAAACTTTTTCAAATGACAAACCTATAGATCATTCATTCTTTTGGGGGGGATCATGGACCTCTTTGAAAACGTAATAAATGCTATAAGCCATCTCTCCACAAAAACACTCACACCAAAAAAAAAAAAAACCCACTCATACATACAACATTAAGCCTACTAATTTCAGAGGGCTTCACGGGCCTCCTGAGGCCCAAACAGAGCTCTCTCTGGCTGTCAAGTCCCAGGTCCCTAGGCAATCCCTGCTACAGATACTTCATCTGACCGAAAGATAAAGCCCACAGTTACAGAACATTTAAAAGTAAGTATGACTTTTTTTAACTATATTTTCATATACTTTAAGACAGCACAGAGGAACTGTATATTTGCATTTTTTGCCCTAGAAAAAATATAAACTTACTTGTTGAGTAAAATTCAAGTCATTTATTTAACACCACAAGCAGAAGGGCATGTGATCGTAATAATACCTTCACAACAACACAGCTCAGAGAGACTAAATGATTTTACAAGTCCACGTAGCTAATAAATTCCAGATCTTCCACATTCTAGTTCAGTGCTTTTTAACTAAGCCATGCCACCTTAAATATAATAAGCATATTACTACATTGGGTAGGATACAATTTCCAAAATTAAAAATCCCTTAAAACACCAACCTTCTAAGAATGACTATAAAGAGTTAGGCCTCTAACTTCTTTATTTAATCTGATCACTCCATTTTTAGCACTTAAACGCTCACAAATTAAGGAGAAAATTATATATACTGGCTTTTAAAAACAAAAACCCTCTAATGCACTCCTCTTTAATCAACACAACTTGTATAAATAAGAAAAATCAAAAATTGCAAAGCAAATACAAAAAATATGTTATCTTTATAGCATGAACATGATTACAGAAAAAAATACATATAGTTTAAGCTGTGGGTTATTTAGCAAGCAGAAGATCTGATGCCAAAAACCACACAGAGTTTCTCTGCTTTGGGTTCCTGGTATTTGAAGAGTCTGGCAGGCAAGGATCAAGCATCCATTATCTGATGTCCACTTGGCTGACTCTACAAAAACAATGAGGCCTGGCTGTACAGCAAGAGTTAGGGATTCCAACTACTACTTACAGATCCACTCTAACTCAGAGGGCTACAACTCAAATGGTGAATTAAGTGTGTGCCTCAGTTTTTCCACTGGAAATGTGATAATACATTATCAGCCTATATTCTGTCTTTAGACAAGCAGTACTGCCTACTGGTTAAGAACGCAGTCTCAAAAGCTAACTGGTCTGAATTTTGGCTTTGCCATCTACCAACGTTAGCAAGTTACTACAACCTCCCTATGCCTCAGTTTCTTCAATTGCAAAATGGAGTTAACAACAGCATCTATTTCATAGGCTTCTCGTGAGGAATAAGTAAGTTAATATACAGAAAAATCTCAGAGCAGCGGCTAGCAAGTAATAAGAATTCTATAAATGTTGGCTTTTATTATTGTTATTTTAAACAGATGACAAGATTAATCAACTTATACCTGTATTGCACTTAGATGTCCGTAGGAAATTACAGGCCTCAGTTTTTTTACTTTTTAATCATGTGGCTTAACTACCAACTGTTGTTTTCTAAATATAGTAAATACATGGCCGATTATTCTTGTAAAGAACTGAAAACTTACCGTAGACACTGCCACCTATGACTCATACATTAGCAAAGTTTTAGCTAACTTTTCATCTGAATAGAACTAAACCCCCTTAACCATTTCTAAGTTACTTGGATCTCTTCAAGTTTTACAATCATCCCAATTCCAAAACACAATAATGGTTATTCTTATCCAAACTACTGCAACGGACTCCTAACAACTCTTCCCCTCCAAGCTCCACTCCCCACACTGCAGAAGGGAGATCTTTCAAAAATCCAACTCTAACTGCACTACCCTATTTAAAACCCTGCAATGGCTCCCCACTGGCCTAAGAAGTCAGACTTCCTTACAAGACCTGAGGCTTGCACGATGCAGGGCCATCCTCCCTCTCTGGCTGTTCAAGCCATACAGGGACTCTTTCCAATCCTTACCCTATTCCGTCAGGCCTCAGAGCATTCAGAGATTGTGCTCCCCCTCTCTGGCATAATCCCCTCTCCTCACCGCCTCTGACTCCCCGAAGGAGATCAGGTCCTCCTGTTACACGCTCTCATAACCCTAATCCCAATCCTCTCTTCTCCTGTGCAGCACAAAATAAAACTGCAATAAAACATTTAAATGGCTTTTTAATACTGTCCAAAAAAACCATAAACTCCAACTAAGACTGGGGAACATGTCTATCTTTTACTGCTACAACCCAGTTGCTTTGATGCTCAGTACCTTATACATAGTAGGTGTGCACAACACATTTGTATTGTCTATGGGGAATGATAAGTGATAGAAAGCAAGTCACCCACAAAATAAGACTAATGCAAAATACCGGCTGCACCGTATGAAATGTCTAAGTTATCATGTGCATTACACTGGAATAAAAGTAAACACCTATTGCTAAAAGGTGGACAAAATGAGGTTAAGACTAAACTTTCCAAAGTACAATTAAGTTTCTTTGTGCATCCTCAGGTGTTACGTGAAACAGGAGGAGGTCCACTTCAGTTACCAGAAAGAAGATACACAACTAAATCAAGACCGCTGCCACATTTGGCACTATCCTCCTCTCTTCTTGGCAGCCTCTGCCAGGCCAAGAGTTGAGCTGGCCAGGGAAGAGTGATTTATCTCCCACATTTAGAAGTGGTCCCTCTACAACAGGAATGCTGTACTAATGGACTTTGAATTCTAACCTTGTCAAACCAGTACCGTTCCTAAGTATTCAATTCACTTCAAAAAAAAAAAAAAAAAAGCTGAATCCTGCGTATCACTAACAAAATCAAGTTTAGTAAGGCATCACAGTCCAAGTCGACCTGGAGAAAATAAAGTTGGTGTTTCCTCCAAAAAAAAAAAAAAAAGCTAACTAGATGTTTTACGAAAGAAAGTTATTCGGAAAAGTAAAAGAAACCGGCATGGGCATGCTAAAAGGCTAAAGGCTGAGGGACTGTCGATGGAGACTGCCCAGGGTAATAACCTCCACCGGGCCTGGCGGGCAGCAGCTCCCCGCCGACAGCGGACAATCCCAGGTCCGTGTGAAGCATGCGGGTTTGACACACGCCAAACCCCTGCTGTCTGGCTCGTCGCACTGCCCCTGCCAAGGCAACAAACGCCCAGACCGGCTCTGCGCTATGATCCGGGGGGCCCGCTCCCGTTCCGCCCTCGCCTGGCAAGGCGCGTCCAGGGCAGGGCGCAGGTAAGGACTCGGAGGGCTCGGGGTCAAACATTTGGCCCTTTGTTCGCTCCGCGGCGGCGGGGCCATGGGCGCCCGCTCCTCCTCCTCCCCCACGGCCGCCGGCGCCGCGGCCCCCGCCGACAGGCAGCGCGCACTCCGACGCCGGCCCGGCGGCGCCCCCGGCCCTGCCGCTGCGGGTCGGGACCCCGCGGCCTCGGCGGCGCGCGGCCCTCCGCCTTTACCTTGTAGACGTCGCCGTAGGTGCCGCTGCCGATGCGCTGAATCAGCTCGAAGTCCTCCTGCGGGTTCCGGCGGGACAGATCAAACCCGGGGTTCATGGCGGGCCCCGGGTGCCCCCCGCCTCCCTCCCGGGCAGGGAGGGGGGGCGCTCAGGGGACCACACGGAGAGTGGGAGCCGCGGCCGGCCCCCGGCTCCCCCGGCGGTCACAATCGCCCGGCTCCACGCTGCGGCCGCTGCCGCCGCTTCCCTCACGCCGCCGCCGCCGCCGCGGACGACGACGACCGGCCTCAACCGTCCCCGCCCCCCGCAGCCCGCCGCCGCGCCGAACCCCGGTCACACCCACAGGGCGAGGAGAACGCTCGCAGCCCCTCGCTCGGGCTGAAACTCCAACATGGCTTCCGCCTGCGCCGCTCCTCCCCCTCCCCTTACTCCGGCTCCTCCACCCTCCTCCCCCTTTTCCCGGCGCCCGCCCGACTGCGCAGCCGCGATCCCGGAGGGAGCGCTCCCTCTCCGCGCGCGGCCGGCTCTGTGCGCGCTCCCGCTCCGCGCGCCTCCCCGGCGGGGTCTGGCGGCCCGGGGATGCCTGACCCCGGCCGCCGCGGCTTCCCCGGCAGCAGACCTGCGCCCGACCGCAGCCGAGCGATGCCAGAAAAGGTTTGGATGCCCCAGGGACCGCGGGAGAGACAGGCAGACAGTAGCTCCTATTTGTCTCTGATTCCCCTAACGACAAAGTTTGACGTCGCCGTATCAGGTCCCGATCCTAAGCAAGTAGTATAGTTTTAAATTGCAAGACAACCGATGTCCCAAACTTTTTATTTTTGAGAAGCCGCTACACATAGGACACAGCCGAGTACCGCAGACTTTCTGGGATTGCGGGGAAGGGGTCCCCCTGTGTCAGCTCGGGCCCTTGGTGTTGGCCTGCTAGGTTGCACCCCCTTTTGCACAAGAGGACAGGCCAGGAACGGCAGTCAGGTAGGCATGTGGAGTGGGTAGGGCGAAGGAAGCTCTGGAGGAAAAACATGCCGAACAGCCGCCAGGAAGCCCGCGTGGAGGGCGTGGGAGGCAGGCAGAGCACAGAACTAAACCAGAGATTGACCTTCCTGGATTATCAAAGACCCGGGCGGGGACTGTGCAAGCTGTCAAGCAACTTTCCAAAGGAGAGGTGGCTGAGGGTTGAGGGTGGAGCGTGGACAAGATCCATTCCTGCACCTGGAATGTACACATGTGATGATCCGGAAGCTCTTTAGCTTCTCTACCCAAAGCCCTACCCCACTTAAGACCCATATTGTGAGCATTACATCGGACCTGTGTGGACACCAGCTCCAACTGTTAATACTTCCCAGGAAAGCATGTGGGTGTGGAGGGTTAATTTCCTGTTCTCAATAAACTGCCCACTAGGCATTTCCCACATCTTTAATCAAGTAGGTGATGGCCACTTTGGCAATACCACTTTGGAGTTTTGCTTCAGAAATGCTTTCCTAATATCCTTAGGCACCACACCTTCTGACCACTGATATTCCCTAATGCCTGGTGGCACCTAAGAAACTAGGTCTTACCAAACCGGTTAAGGATAAGATAAGTGTAATCAAACAGTAATCAGGCAACTACTTACTGTTAACTGCCTCATACATTTTTATCTTTTCAATACTTTTGCTTATAGTAAGATTACATATGTATTAAATTCTCAAAGAAGTGGTTTGCTCTGAGTGTCTGTTGATTAAAAGATATTGGAAAATGACCATCTCTTCACCAATACAAGAAGCGTTTCAATTGTCTAAACTTTAATTATTTTAAAGCATCAGTAATATGAGTGTATCACGTGAATTACTGCCCTATGAGTGAGTGCCTTTCATTGGATTTCCTCGAGATGGATCTACCTTAAGACTGTGGTATCTTGAGAATTAAACTCCTGGCTGTCAATGTCGTTCCGTGGATAAGCACCCTGCTTTCCTTGTTTAAGGTACTTGCCGTGGGCCCAGAGGGCAGACCTTCCTTTACCTTGTCCACGTTTGGAGAAATGTTTGGCCTCTTTAAACCAAACATGAGGATAATTAGCCCAGGATTCAGATAAGCAGACTTAAGAAACTACCCCAAGTAGGAACCAGCTCTGCTCTCCTTCTCTGCCTCTTTGATGCCAGAAAGCCAAATTCTCAGGATTGAATGCTACACAAGAAGGGTCTAATGATTTCACTGTTTTGTTTGCTAGGATTATCATCTGTGCAGATAACTGCATTTGCATCGCTGATAGATTTCTTTCAAAGGGAAAAGACATTTCAGTAGGGCTGAAACAGTTTAAAGTTTTGTTTGTTCCATTTTGGCAGGGCCAAGCTAGTCCTTTTGAAAAGAGAGATTTTCATGTAAGGGTCTGATTTGCTGTTTGGGTTGCAACATAAATAAAAGGGCTTTTGCAATTAACTGCTCACAAAAATAAAATATTTTGTTCCTTGTAATATATACATACAGCCAAATCCGATGTCTCTTTTTTTTATTCTAACACTGCTCAACTTTGCTAGAAGTAACACTGATGATCACACTTTCTTTGAATCAGAGAAATAGCTTCCCTCTTCTATGATTAGAAGCATCCTTAGAAGTCAACTAATGTTTTCAATTCAAGACTGCTTCTACAGCCTCTCTCCTGGATCTACTCCTGCTCAAATACCTTCGGTGAAAGGGAACTCACCGCTTCCAAGGCAACCTGCCTCATTAGGAGATAGTGCCGGTGAAGGATCATAATAACAATAATAGAAAAAATAATGGTATCTAACATTCCCAAGTACGTACAAGGTGCCAGGAACTGAGCCAAGTACTTTCCATGTAGTATCTCATTTAATTCTCACAACTTGATGACGTGGGTATTATTATCTCCATTTTTTGAGACATAGACAGATCAAACTGCTCAAGGTAACAGCTGAAATTTGAACAGAGGTAGTATGACACAGAAGCCAGACTCTTAGCCACTAGTCTATACTCTGCTTTATATGGACTTTTTAAAATTTCTCTTATCCTAAGCCAAAATCTGCCTCCCTGTAGTGCATTTAGAGCCAGTGATTATTAGATTCTAGTGATGTAGAATAGAGAGAAGAAAAGCCACAGTGCCTGCCCTCAAGTAGTTTGCAGTCTCACAAGACTGTGAGATGCACAGAGGAGGGGCATTCATGCAAACAGGAAGATACAGGAATGATGCTAAAGCTAAATCTCGAAGAATGCATTGGAGTTAGCCAGACAAATGAGAGGGAGGTGGTATACTTCAGGCTGGCCACTTAGCCCCAGCCCTTTAAAGCACCCACTCATGTAAGCATCACATGATAGGAGCACAGCAAGGCTAAGATGGGCAGTAGTAGTTGCCAGCATATCCAGAACACCCTTCTGTTAGCCTCTCCCTTATGGGTCTGTGGTCTAGGGATTCTTTGGTCTCTGCATGAGCTTTCAGTTTCACCCTGGAGACCTCTTGTCTAATAACCCATTGGATCCACTTCTTTGGCTTACTGACCTCCTAAAAACCACTCTCACTTTCAGTATACCAGCAGCTCTGGGAAAGTAATACTGAGCAAGCCTTAGCTCAAAAAAGACTCCCTACATCTAGGCCATCCACCAGGGGAGGAGAATCAGACCCAGACACTATATGTGAAACAATACGGCAGAATGTTCCAGTAGATTATATAGCCTAGCCTAGTGTAGCTCTGAGCCAGGCTGCCTGCGTTCAAATCTTGTCTCTTTCTGTTTACTGAATGACCTTGGGAAGTTATTTCAAACTGGGGCTGTTATGAAGAGTCAAAAAGAAAATACATATAAAAAGTCAGTGGTACCTGGCACCACAGCAAGCCCACAAAGTATTAATTACTATTATTTTGAATATATTTTAGATGTTTTAAAAGGTGACAGTCATGGGGATGGGAATGGAAATATGATTTAGGAAGCAATTGCAGTAACGTTTATAAGAGACCCTGAACTAATGCTAGGCATGCTGAGGATGAAGAGAAGGGAAAGAACCCAAGAGATAATTGGAAGATGAAATAGACAGATTTGGGGTTGGGGGGTGAGGAAGCAGGCAGAGAGACATGGGTGACATGCAGGCTTCTGGCTTAGACAATTGGGAGTGTCCCAAAAAGGTGATAGCATTTACCTTAATAACAGGAACTGGGATTATTTGGGGGAGGTTTTAGCACTGGATCAAAGTAGATGATTCTGTGTGTGTCTGTTAAGTTTTGAGGTGTTCAACTGGAAATGTAAAATTAGTGATAAAATGTAGGGTTGACGCTTAGAAAAGATTTCAGGGGTAGTTTTTCAATGTGGGGAATTATAGTTCAGAAATGTTTATTGAGCATCTATCAGGTGCCAAACCCTATATTGAGTTCTGGCAATACAGTAGGCATGGTTCCTGAACTCAAGTTGGGGATACAAGTTCTCAGATAACTCCTCTATAGTGAGACAAATACTGGGGTGCAAGGATGCAGAGCCGGAAGGAGATATTAGTTGCTGCTTGGGCTAATAATTTGGCTCTTTTTCAAACCAATATATATTTTAACATTTTCTTTAAACCAATATCTTTAAAAGCAGGTACTCGACATTTATTTACAGATGAGATGGAGCTCTGCATGGGGGTGGGTGGAGCTAGAGGTCATCAGATGTCAGCTCTCAGCTTCCACTCTTTTATTCTGAGCAATTCAGCTTTGCTCCCAGATTTGCCTACCTCCCAGCACAGTGTTTCTCAGTGGAGGTTTTATTAGCATTTTGGGTAGGACAGTTCTTCTATGTGTGGGCCTGTCCCTATGCATTATAACTTCCCTGCCACCCACGTCAATACTGCTCCCAGCCATACTGACATCAACAACAAAAATGGCCACACCTATTTTCGAATGCATAGAGTTGGGCTGGGGTTGGGGTGGTGGTGGTGGTGGCTGGATTGAGAATGTTTGCCTATCACGTTCCTTGGGAGGACTATCACCCACGCTAATCTATTTGTCCTAGTATTTCTTTCTGTCTCATATAGTATATTCCCTGAGACAAGTCCTGATATATGAAATATTGTCCGTATCACATTCGTAATATTTAGCACCCAAGTGATATTTCACTGCCCTCTGTAGATTGACAACCAAGAGTCCACCTGACCTTTTTCACGTAGTTCCTGGGATCACATAGGAGGGAACTGAATCTGGTCTTTGCAGGTTATGGAAGTCTTCACAGAGGAAGCAGCCTCTAAGCTGAGACTTAAAAGACAAGTAGATTATTACCCAGGCAAGAAGGTATACTCCATACCAAGGGTAGAAAGGTTACATTCAAAGAAACGAAGGTAGTTCTGTTTGAGGTGAATAACAGATGAGACTAGCATGGGAAACAGGGACCCGTCCATTAAGGAGCATGTAAATTGTGTTAAGTAATTTGGATTTTTTATTGAGAACAAAAGGGAGCTATTGATGGATTTTCAGCACAGGAGTAGCATGATCTTATTTGTGCCTTAGAAATATCCTACTAGCTGCTGGTGGAGAATGAATTGGAGGCAGGTGGCAAGACTGGAGACGAGATGGGAAAATAGTTAGGAGACCCTTGCAGTAGTCAGGTGAGAGAAAATGATGCCCTGAATTAACATATAGGGCCAGTATCAACATTCAGTGATGGTGGTATTTGAAATTGTGAGTTGAGATGAATTCTCTTCAGGAAAGTATGGAATAGGCAGAAAATGGGTCCCTAGAGAACCCCAACATTTAGAGTGTGAGCAAAGGAAGAGAATCCAGCAAAGGAAGCTATGAAGGTGGGACCCAATATGATATGTGGAAATGGAATGCTGTGGCAGCCATAGGAATGTACCACTTGGGACTCCCTTCAAGGAAGCACCTGCTATGAGAAGTGTAATTAACTGAAGCCTCCAGCCACCATGCCTTTGGGATCCATCACAGCATTCATTCAGAGGTCTCGCTTTCCCTCCTCAGAGGCTCCCAGCCAATGACTGAGCACAGCCAGCCATTCCTGCTGGTGCAGTTTCCTCTGCTGGGCTGTCTTTGTTCTGGGGCTCCCTGTTGGTCTGACTGAGCCTTCCTCAGAGCTCTCCTGCATGCTGAGGCTTTTCATACCCAGGCTTCCCTTCTTTCCTTCCCTTCACAGGTATTAAGACATGCATTGCAGTCTGAGACTCTTCCCTCCTCCTCCTGCTCCTTGTCCTCCATAGCCTTCACAGGTGTTTCCACACACAAGTATCTTGCACTTCCAATTCAATTTTACCATCTGCTGAAGTAGGACAATTGATATCAATGAAGCAAAGGAGGAAGGAATTTTAAGAAGAGAGTGATCAACAGTGTTAAATGCCAAAGAGAGACTGAGGAGGAGGGAGACAGAAAAGTGTCAACAGATTTGTCATTAAGGAGGTCAGTGCTGACCTAACTACTGAAGTCATAGTCCCTCTTCTGCTATTGTCTCCTCTTAATTATATTCTCCCAGATGCTCTTCAGCTTTTCTCATATGTCATGATCTTCATATATCTCAACCAGACCCACTCAAATGGACACATTTAATTTAGTATCTTTCTAAACTCTAGCACTAAGAATTGAATTCAGTATTCCAAATGCAGTCTGGCCAGTGTTAATTATGGAGAGATTATCACTACCTATTATCTAAACACTATATCATAGCCTGAACTTTGATTCAGTTTCTTTTTTTTTGCTTTTTTATTTTTTTAATATTTTTTGAGGAAGATTAGCCCTGAGCTAACTACTGCCAATCCTCCTCTTTTTGCTGAGGAAGACTGGCCCTGAGCTAACATCCATGCTCATCTTCCTCTACTTTATACGTGGGAGGCGTACCACGTATAAAAAGCATGGCTTTTGCCAAGCGGTGCCATGTCAGCACCCAGGATCTGAACCAGTGAAAGCTGGGCCACCGAGAAGCAGAATGTGTGCACTTAACTGCTGCGCCACCGGGCCAGCCCCATGATTCAGTTTCTTATAGACACAACAAACTCAGGGCCGCTGTACTGCCCAACTCCAGGGGATGCTGTTCAGATTATAATTTATAATTATATAATCCTCACCTCTGACCTGGCATCTGGGTCCTGATCAAGAAACTATCTCCAAAAATAAATTTGCTCCCTTCTCAATCAGATCATCAGAGGTGTTCTTGAGCCCACATTGCCTTAAAGAGTCAGGGACAAGAAACCTGGTCTCATACATCCTGCTGTAAAGTTCCTGCCCTGCCAACAGTTTATTGCATCAGATATCAGCTTCTCATCAACTAGCAGATATAACACCACCAACAACAAAACAGAGCACAGAGGACCTCTACTCAATATTGCTTCCTGGTGAGATCTTGCAAAGACAAATGCGTTAGACAAGAACCTAGGACCTTGTCTAGATGGACAGGAAACTCCAAATTTCTTGAGAAACCAGGATTTCAAGGAGGTGCTCTTTGGCCTGCACTGTGGATAACTGATAGCTTTTTAGACTCAAGTAATCCTCGAGGGGTTCAGGTTATGTGAAAAATAGACAACAAAATATTGAAGGATTGCAAGGAAGTGAAGGCTGGGTAAGAGAGAGATTGAGAGATCCCGAGATAATCTTAGTGATGAAACTCCTGCTTATATTCATTTTTTATCCCATGGTAGCTTACAGCATAGTGTTTCCTGATTCACTTTCATATAATATCCAATCTAAAACTCCTCTTAGATGTCCCCAGTTAAAGGATATTGCCCTGTAGCCTAGTTCTCAAATATGAGGTGAGGCCACTATTGGCCCAGATTGAGTTGGCCCAGAACAAATGTGGTTACATACACTGTGTTTCCAGAGTAGATTACTGGGCAGAGTGTTATCCTGCTGGCCTTTTCTTTAGAAGCTTTATTGTGGTTACTATTACTGCCTTGCAGCACTCCAACCCCGACTCCTGACAAAACCTGTAGAAAAACAATCTGCTCATAAGTCTAGAAAGTTCATCTCTTTGCAAAAAAAAGTTCCACTAATTTGGTTTAAACATAGACTGGAGTTTTTCTTGATCAAAATAGACAGAAAATAGACATAAATTTAAATAATGTGCCAGGATTTTCCCATTATTCCTTACCCCCTGCTCATAGCTCAAGGCAAATGTGAAGGTAACTCATTTCTCAAACTGACCCAGATCTCTGCCTCAGAAAACAGATCCATCTGCTGGATCAAGGCATGCCTCTTCTCAGTATTAAAGCCAAAACTTCAGCCTGGAATCCGATCATCCGGGTTACTTAAAGATGCTTTTTTAAAAAAAATATTTAAATTAGGACTCATCTGGTAGTATGAACTTTCCCAGCTGAGCATCTGATACCATCAGAATAGTTTAAACATGTGTTGATGGAATAATTTGTTCTCATCCGTAAAAGGAACAAAAGGAAGGAAACTCATGAAAATTTCCCCGCTGCTTTGTGTGTTATTTACAAAGGGCTAAGCAACTATATGAAATTTGTGAATAGCCCTTTTCAGGTATAAGTGTGGGGCCCCTACAGGCAGTCTCTCCCTGTCTCAACATCAAAACTGTTAACTGGGCACCAATATCTGAAAATATTTGCATGAATTTTTAATACCTGAAAATATAACACTTTTACATTGCCGATGCCAATATTTAGGGTTTACCTCTCACCTCAGGAGAGCTCTCTCTGGTCATTCCAAATAAACCCAAAACAACATCTGTGGAAATCTGAGTCTGTTTTCTGCTACATGGTGCAGTCTCTTAATTAGTCTCTCTGACCCCATTCTCTTCCTCTTCTGATAATACCACACCTGGCCAATAAACATGCTTCTTAAAATGCCAACAATGGAAATATGGAAGTCCTGAGGGGAAGCTAAATTTGGAACGAATGTGAGTTCACTTTTAGGCATATTGAGTTTGAGGAGATGAAAGGGCATTAAGGAGAAGCCGTTGCAAAGATAGTGACAGATCTAGAAAGTACAAGAGGGAATTAGATCATGATGTGTAAATTTGAGTCATACACATAAAGACAGTGGAGTCGCGAGATCTCTCAGTGAGAGTCTGAGAGTATAGAGCAATGATGAGCAACCTTTTTTTTTTTTTTTAAAAAAGGGCCACTTAAAAGAAACAGATAATGTTTATGGACCTCGTTTTTTAAACATCCGAACTGAAAATAATGTTGCTGACTTCCATAACAAGAATTTATGCTGTGGGATGATTTATGAAGATATGAATATCCATTCTTCCCCCAGCAGTGTTTTCCAGCCCGTTGTTGCTTGATCTATTTGTGATGTGGAATTTAAGGAAAGGATAGTGGAGACATGAGTTGAGAAGTGAGAAGAGAAGGGGAATAATCTAGTCAGAGAGCTAAGTCAAACTTTAAGGTGTTGGAAGAAAGGGAGAAGGGAGAAAATAACCAAAAGCTCAAAAAACTGGGTCCTGGAGAAAGAGTTTGGGGCTTTATGTTTGAGGGCTAGAAAGAACAGAATGGAATTCAAGGGTGACTCTGTAACCGTAAATCAGATTCCTCTTTGATGCTTCTTGAGAGCTGCAAGTGAAGATTGGAATACCATTTTAAAATCACTCTGTATCTTTACATGTGATCCTGAGCAGAGTCTGAGGTATGTGGGACCCCAGGATTTATTAGGGTTACAAGGAAAATGCCAGTGAGAAATGTGGTAATGCTTTTGAACCACTTAAATGTTATCTGGTCATAGCTGAGAAGTCACGACACAGAAGCACTTTCAAACCTTTTATAACTTAATTTGCATTGCTTTTTAGAGTTGATAAATGTTTTCACATTTATATTTCATTTTATCGTTGGAATGACTCCTTGAATTATTATCATCCATAATTTACAGATGGGGAAATTGAAGCTTAGAGGAGTGAAAGCCAGAAACAGATCAGGGTTTATAATTAGTTTCAGTCAATTTAACATCTACTGAGCCTTGATTACTGAGTTTCAGGTTGTACTAGATACTGGCGCTGCAAAAATGAATAAAACTTGCACCCAGTCATCAACCACTACACCAGTTGGTTCTTTGCTCTTCCTCAGTTCTCTCCTAGAAGTTTGATAATCCCCCTTAGCTTGGGCTAGGCTGGTTCGTAGTGAGATCCAACACTGAGCATCACCTACACAGACAGATAGTTTACAGGAAGAATTGACTCCAGGGTACTCTGGCAGTTCCATGACTATGATGTAGTCATTAGAGTTGCAAAGTTAAGGAAGATGTGGGAGCTCTTGTGCACTACTGGCAGGAGAATAAATTGGTACAACCACATTGGAAGGCAATTTTGAAATATCTATTAAAGCTAAAAATGTCCTTACAATCTAACAAGTCCACTTCTTCATATATACCTGAGAAACTCCCTTAAATGCATAAGGAGACATGTAAATGAATGTTCATTGAAGCATTGTCTGTAACAGGATAGGAATTGGAGGCAGCTTAAGTGTTCATCAACCTGAGAATGGATAAGTAAATTGTTGTATGATCACACAGTTGAATACTATATCATAGTTAAAATAAATGAATTAGAACTAGAACTAAGAATATGCATAAATCTCAAATAATAGAATATCGAGTGAAAAAAGTGGCAAAAAATACATAAAGTATGCTACTGTTTACATTAAGTTTAAACATATGAAATAATACTACGTATTTCCATGTGTGATGAACATTTAAAAATATTCCTGGTAATGATAAACTCCAGTTTCAGGATAGTTGTTACTTCTGCTAAAGAAGGATAATGATAGAGTATGCAGAAGACTTTAGCCAAATCTGTATTGTTCCCCCCGTCCCCGCAAAAAAAAAAATAGGGAAAGGATCTGAAGCAAATATGACAAAGAGTAAATATTTGACAAAGCTGGGAGGGGAAGACGAAAGAGTTTGTTATATTATTCTCTATACTCTGTATACCTGAAATATTTCATTTAAAAGTATATATGGGCTTTGGACCCTGGAATTCTGGGATTTTCTTGTGGTTTTTTTCTTTATACAGAATTGCCTTTTTTTTCCTTTTCCAATGTTGAAGGTCCATCCATTCTTTGATATCTAGCTCAAGTCTCACTATCTTATTGGGAATTTCTTTAACAATCTTGTCAGTCCATTCTAGGCTCTCCCTTTTCCAAACCATGATATGTCTATAAGGTTTTTGTGTACACTATGTTTGTATGACCAGACTTCTTTCCTATTGTTGTTTAAATATGTATTGCCTTGCATTAATATTTGACTTTACACAAGCCTTGTTTCTCCAATTATGTTGTAAGAGCCTTAAGAGCAGGGACAATGTCTTAAACTTCTTTAATTCTTCCCCAGTGCCCAGTGGAGCCTAACCAGATACTTATTAAAGAAAAGTGATATATAAACCAATAATTATAACTCTTCCTACAAAATCTTTACATAGAAACTTGAAAATACTAGTTTGAGCTACATTTGCTTTTATTTTCCCAGGGAGAGAATACTAATGAGCTGTGAAATGACCAAAAATCAGGCAGCAGAAGGGAAAAGAAGAAATAACGGGTTTGTATATTACACATTCTGGATAATCAGCTCTTGAATGATTAAATGTGGAAGATCTCTTATGGGAAAAAGCAGATTTAAAAAATTCATTTTATGACTATGGAATTGTTTTATACATCATTTCCAGTTTTCAGATGGTCCTAGGCTAGACTTATAAATTATTTTGGAAAAATGTTTCCTCTTATGATGTATTACATAAGCACACACAGATACACCTTGTTATTGTTCTGCATTCAGTATTTATTGGACTAAACATGGGAATAGTGGTCCAGGGAAACTAAAGAACAAAAGATATTCCACCTGTGAAATCAGGAGAGGGTTTTGGAGGAAAACAAATTATTTTGACTTCAATTTACCCTTAGTCCATCTTGTAAAAAGTGCTTAGTGCTTGAGGCAACCACCTTACCTGAAACCTCAGAGTGAAAGGTTGGTCTATACCAGTCCAGGATGAAAACTAAAGAGCACAGGAAGTGGTAAGAGGTCTGGACTCCATTGTCTCTCCTCAGAATGGAAAGTTGGGTGTCACGGAATGAGATAAATTTAGGAATCAGTATGGTTACTTTTTGTAAAAGCAGTTACTACTATGGTCTATTTCAAAAGTAGCACCATTTTGTCCCTGGAGAGTTTCCTAATGGACCTTTATAATGTCTTATTAAACCAGGCCACTACCTTGTGGTTCTTTGGCCTAAGTGCTACAACACTCAAAATACAGTTCCCTAAATTAAACCTTACCTACATCTGTATTTATGGCTGCATTTTTTTTCCTGCTTTTTCTCCCCAAATCCCCCAAGTACATAGTTGTGTATTTTTTTAGTTGTGGGTCCTTCTAGTTGTGGCATGTGGGACGCTGCCTCAGCATGGCCTGACGAGCGGTGCCATGTCCGTGCCCAGGATCCGAACCAGCAAAACCGTGAGCCGCCGAAGCAGAGCATGTGAACTTAACTACTCAGCCACGGGTCCAGCCCTTATGATTGCATTTTTAACTCCACAGTTTACCTCAGGAGGTTATATCTCTGAAATTATTACCCCCTCTCTGTCTCTATGTCATTTGTGTCCTGGCAAAGAAAACCAAAGACACAAAAATATCTTGCCGTTTGGTAAGAGATCATATATTCCCTCATGTTCACCTCATTTGTGGTGTTAGTGTTGAAACAAAGCCCTAAAGCAAAGTAACCAAAGTATTCCTATAGTAATGATGAGCGTTATGATTGATCTCTGTAATTTTTCCTTTCTCTAAATAAGGAGAAGCAAGAAAAATGCTGTTATACAGAAAAAATATATAACGAATATATTGAGTTCTCAAAGTTCCCTAAAGGATAAGTGTTTGTAACTTGGAATTAATTTTCCATAGAAATAGTATGATTAATTATGGTAAGATTCTAAGGCAAGGCCACAAAACCCAAATAATATTAGTAGGTGTGGCAGAATAAGTTAATTAAGAAATAATGTTTTGTTCTGTGGTCTATGAGCTTATTATGGAAAAATGAGATGTATTTTTCCCTTCTCCTCTCTAAAGCGAAAGTTAAGATGTGGTGATTTTCTAAAGCCTCAGGAAAGCAGAAAACTCAATTACCTGGAAGGGGAAGGGCTCTAAGAAAATGACTTCATAAGAATTTGGATCTCTTGAACCCAGAAGGAAGAGAGAACCAGACAAGTGTCAGTTTCCATAAATGATGGAGAACCTATGTCCACTCCCAAATAACAGATCAGAATGATATAGACCTCTCACAGGGATGCCAGCAAGGATATCTTGTCTAAGAAGTAGTAAAAGTGTTAATTTATACTAAGGTGAAACAAGTCAAGGGTGCATGTTGTAAACTCTAGGGTTGCTATTAAGAGAAGAGTAAAAATATGTATAAACCATATAATGTATGAATAGTAAAAGAGAGACAACATAATAATAATAAAGAAAACACTCAGGGGCTGGCTCCGTGGCCGAGTGGTTAAGTTTGTGCGCTCTGCTGCGGCGGCCTAGGGTTCGGATCCTGGGCACGGACATGGCCCGCTCGTGGGGCCAGGTTGAGGCGGCGTTCCACATCCCACAACTAGAAGGACCGGCAACTAAGATATACAACTCTGTACTGGGGGGTTTGGGGAGATAAAGCAGAAAAAAAAAGATTGGCAACAGTTGTTAGCCCAGGTGCCAATCCTTAAAAAAAAAAAAAAAGAGGAAGATTGGCAACAGTTGTTAGCTCAGCTGCCAATCTTTAAAAAAAAAAAAGAGAGAAAACACTCAATTCAGCCAAAGGAAGGCAAGAAAGAAGATAAAAAGGAACAAGCAATAAGTGAGATAAATAGAAAACAGAATAGTAAGATGTTAGCTGTATACCCAAATATGTCATTAATTACCATAAATATAAATGGCATGATATTTTACTAAAAAGCAAGGATTGTCATACTGGTTTAAAAAGTTTATGTGCTTTTACAAAAGATATGAGAGTTATAATCTAAAATTACAACATGGAAAGTTAAAAGTAAAAGAATAGAAAGACATTTTATGCAAACACTAACCCACAGAAAGCTGGTATAGCTAAACAATGACATATAAAGTAGACTTTAGGGAAAGAAGCATTATTTTAAATAAAGTGTGATATTTCACAATAATGAAAATATTAACCCAAGGGAAGCTATAACAATTCTAATTTTGTACACAACTAACAATATGCTACAAAATACATAAAGCAAAAAAATTGCCGAAACTGCAAGGAAATAAGAGTCTTTAACACATCTCTCAGTAACTGATAGAACAAGGAGACAAACATTAGTAAGGACGCAACATTTAAACAACATAACTAACAAAATTGACTTGATTATACATATGGAATATTTCGCTCAACAATTGCAGAATTCATTTTCATTTCATGTGAACATGAACCATTTACTAAAAGTGACGGTAACTTGGGCCATAAAGCAAACTTCACCATATTTTTAAAAATTTAAATCGTATAGAGTATGTTCTTTGAGTAGACGGTAATTAAACTAACATTCAACAATTTTTTGAAAACTACAAAATTCCCAAACACATAGAAGTTAAGTAATATATATCTAAATAATCTATTAGTCGAAGAAAAAAATCACGATGGAAATTAGAAAATATTTAGAACTGAATCACATAAAAATATGACACATCAAAATTTTTCAGATGGAGGTAGGGTCAGCCCCATTGTGTAGTGGTTAACTTCAGCCCACTCCGCTTCAGCAGCCTGGGTTTGCAGGTTCGAATCCTGGGCACAGACCTACACCACTAGTCAGCCATGCTGTGGCAGTGACCCACATATAAAGTGGAGGAAGATAGGAACAGATGTTTGCTCACGGCTAATCTTCCTCAAGCAAAAAAAGAGGAAGATTGGCAACAGAGTTAGCTCAGGGCTAATCTTCCTCAGCAAAAAAAAAAAATCAGATGCAGGTAAAATTATGTTTAGTGGGAAATTTATAATCTTAAGGGCTGAAATTTATAGCTCTAAATAAGAATTACATAAATATCCATCTCAAGCACTTAGAAAAAACAAACTGGAGGAAAGTATAAAAAAGGTAATGGTAAACTGAAGATAAAAACATTAGTGAAAAAAATGTACAGTAGAGAGGAGTCACTGAAAAGAATAATAAAACTGATAAATCTCTAGCAGGACTGATCACACATGCAAAATAGAAACAAAAACAAACCAAAAGAGTACCTATTACCTCTATCAGGCTTGAAAAAAGAAACATCACTATGGATCCTTACAGACATTACAAAGTTGAAAATGTTTTAGACAACTTAATGTCAATAAGTATGAAAATTTAGATGGAATGGGAGATTTCTAGAACAAACCAACTTGCAAAAAGTGACACCAAAGAAACAGAAAACAAAATAGTCCTGTATTTACCAAAGAAACTGAATAGTGACCAAAAATCATCATACAATAAATCTCCAGATTCTGAGGATGCCAGTAAATTCCTCCACACAATTAAGGAGAAAATAACACCAGTCTTGTACAAACTCAGAGAATAGAAAAAGAAACTACCAACTCGTTTTATGAGGCCAATAGAATGTTGATCATTACAGGAAAGGAAAATTACAGACCAGTCTCTCTCTTATCAGAGATGAAAAAAATTCTAAATTAAATATCAGCAAAACAAATTCAGTAGTATATAAAATGTGTTTGTTTCAAGCATTGAAGATTGGTTTAACATTAATATTAATATAATAGGTTAACAGAATAAAAGACAATGTATATGATCATCCTTATAGATACAGAAAAGGAGTTTGATAAAATTCAACATCCATTCATGATGTAAAGCTTTTAGCAAGCTAGGAATTTCTTCTTTTTTTTGGTAGTCTTTTGTTTTGAAATAGTTTTAGACTTACAGAAAAGTTGCAAAACAGGAAAGAACTCCTGTATGTCCTTCACCAAGATTCTATGATTGTTTCCATTTTGTCACATTTATCAATTTCATTCTATCTATATTATTTTTCTGAACCATTTAAGAGTAAGTTGAGGACGTGATATCTCCTTATCCCTAAAATACTTCAGTATGTATGTTTTGAGAACAAGGAAATTCATTTACAAGTCACAGTAAAATTAGCAAAATCAGGATACATTGATATAATATTGTAATATAATCTACAGACCTTACTAAATCTCACCAATTGTCCTAATACTATCTTTTATAATTAAAAAAAGAAAAAGTAGGGGCCAGCCCAGTGGTGTAGTGGTTAAGTTCACATGCTCCACTTCAATTGCCTGGGGTTTGCAGGTTCGGATCCCAGGCACAGACCTAGCACCTCTCATCAAGCCATGCTGTGGCAGCATCCCATATAAAGTGGAAGAAGATTGGCACAGATGTTAGCTCAGGGCCAATCTTCCTCACAGAAAAAAAGGATTTTTTCTGGTCCAGGATCACACATTGTGTTAGTTATTATGTCACTTTAGTCTTTTAAAGTCCAAAATAGTTCATTATCTTTACTTTTTATTTTATGACCATGACACTTGAAGAGTACAAGCTTGTTATTATGTAGAATATACCACTATTGGGTTTAATTAATGTTTCCTCATGAATAGATTCAGATAATGCATTTTTGGCAGGAATATCACAGAAATGATAGTGTATCTGCATCAGTGCATTACATCAGGATCCCCATGGTGTTGATTTGTCCCATTAAGGGTAATGTTGACTTTAATCACCTAGTCAAAGTGATGTCTGTCAGGTTCCTCTATTGTAAAATTACTGTTTTCCCTGTATAATTAAAAGTATTTTGTGTGGAGATATTTTGAGACTATGTGAATATCCTATTTTTCACTAAATCTTCACCCACTAATTTTTAACACCTTTTGATGATTCTTTCCTGAATTAATAATTACTATGATGATAGAAAAATGATGATTTCCTAATCCATTCTTCCTTATATATTTGTTAGAATTCTAGTATAAAGGAGAGCTTTTCTTTCCCTCTTTCTATCTACCCATCTATTTGTCTATCTACAAGTTTATTTAATCTTTTAAAATTCATATTCATATTAACTCATGGATTTTTATTTTATTCAATGCGTTGTAACTTGTTACTATAAGTACATTTTTTGATGTTCAAATTGTCCCAGGTTTGATGAGTTGAAGTCCCTTCAAGCTGGTTCCTGAGTCCTTTTGATCATTTTTTGGAGTATTTCCTCACTCTCTGGGACAAGAAGATATTCCAGGATCTCATACTTTCCCTGCCCCAAGTGTATAATCAGCCTTTTCCCCAAGGAGCTCTGATTCTTTTTGTTGGAGAATGATATTAAATAATATTTAGAAACCAAGATTTAGGTGATGGGTGTGCTCATTACTCTTGTGATGTCAATGGACAGAGTTAGGAAATACATATGTATATAAATACATAGACATTTATATACACAGACATATTTATATTTATATTCATATCTATATATAAAACCATACTTCTATATGATATCTCCCATTCCAATACAATATCACAATGTTCATCCTAGTTTTCCACATTCCCATATTTTGAAACTCCCTTTTCTGGCAGTGAGAGACCTGGGTCCTATCTTAATCTCTAAAAACACCTCTAGCAAGTATTATCTCTCATGGTGAATAATAATAGCTTTTCTCCTGAGATTAGGCATGAGATATGAGTGCCTATTGTTATTATTTCTATTCAACATTATACTAGAGATCCTATCCAGTAAAATAAGACAAGAAAAAATAGTAAAAATGTTAAGAATTAAAACTTATTACATGACACAGCATGCATCTGTGGACAAATTATTAAAATAAGACAGGGAATAAAATATTTGTGATCTATATATGGCAAATATTTCTTAAATAGGACCCAAAATCATGAAATATAAAAGAAAAAATTGATAAATTAGACGTCCTGTAAATAAAAAAATTTGCTCTTCGTAAGTCACTGTTATGAAAATGAGAACTCAAACCACAGACTGGAAGAAAATATTTGTATAACATATGCCTGATAAAGGACTTGTGTCAAGAATACGTTAAGAATTCTCACAATGCAACAGAGACTCAGAATAAAAACTCAATTTATAAAATGGGCAAAAAAGATTTGAATAGATATTTCATGAATGACAATAAGGACGTAAAATGATCCTCAACATCACTAGTCATCAAGGAAATGGAAATTAAAACCATAATGAGATACCATTACACACCCACTAGAAGGGTTAACATTAACAATCCTGACAGTACCAAGTGTTGGTAAAGATGTGGAGCAACTGAAATGCTCATATATTTCTGGTAGGAATGTAAATGATATAGTCACTTTGGAAAACTTTGACAATTTCATGCAAAGTTAAACATACACTTACCATAGGGCCCAGCAATCACACTCCTAGATACCTACCTAAAAGAAATGAAAACATGTATATGCAAACACATGTACTTGAATGTTCATTACAGCTTTATTCATAACGGCCAAAAACTGGAAACAACAAAATGTCCATCAACAGGTGAATGGATAAACAAATTGTGGTATATTTACACAATGGAATACTATACGGCAATAAAAAACCCAATGAACTACTGATACAGGAAATGACATGGATGGAATTTCAAAAGCTTTATGCTCAGTGAAAGAAGCCAGACACAAAAAGCCAGACACAAAAGACTATTTCCTGAATGATTCCATTATATGAAATTATAGAAAAGACAAAGGTATCATGACAGAACACATATCAGTATTGCCAGTGGTCAAGAAGTGGGAGAAGGAAATTGACTTCAAAGGACAAAGAGGAACTTTTTGGGGTACGGAAAAGATTCTATATCATGATTATGGTGATGGTTACATTATAGAATACATTTGTAAAATTCATAGAATTGTACTCTTAAAATTGGTGAATTTCATTATATGAAAATTGTATCTCGATAAAGCTAACCCTCAAAAGTTTTTCAAAGACTTGAACAGGTACAAAAAAGAGAATATCCAAATGTCCAATAAACACATGAAAAAGCACAAATTAGCATCAGAAGATGTGAAACAACTGGAGCACTTCTACGCTGCTGGTGAGACTATAAATTGGCACACCACTTTGGAAAACTGTTTGGCAATTTCTAAGAAAGCTGAATATGTTAATAACCTATGACCCAGCAATTTCAGTCCTATTTGTAGTAGCCAAAATTTGGAAACAACCCAATGTCCGTTGATAGTAGAAGAGATAAATTATGTATATCTGTACAATGCAATACTACACAGAATGAGAATGAATGAACTACTGCTACACATGGATGAAACTTATAAACATAATATTGAGTGAAAGAAACCGTACAGAGAAGGGCATGTTTATTTAAAGTTCAAAAACAGAAGAGATTAAGTTATGGTGCTAGAAATTCAGATAGTAGTTATCTGACAGAAGGTTATAATTGGGTGGGAGCATAAGAGGGCTTTTAGAATGCCAGTAGTCCTCCTTAATCTTCATACTGATTACGTGGGTGTGTTCACTTTGTGAAAATTCATTGAGATTCTACCCTTATGATTTGTGCCGTTTTATTTATGCATGTTATATTCAATAAAAGATTTATTTAAAAATTTATAATCACATGAATACTTGTATAACAGTCGTAACACAGCACAATTTATAACTAAGTAAACTGTATTCATCTGAATTTTCCCAGCCTGAGAATATCTTACAAATGGAAATCCAAACAGACAAAACAGAAAATTACTTGTAGCACAAAAGCACCTTTCACTTTACAAAGCAACATTTCAAATGCATGAAAGAAACAGAGATAACACCATAGCAGATCCATTTTTCAATTTTGTAAATTTATCGTAAGGAAAGAAAGAACTCAACAGAAGCACAAAACTTGCTGTGAAAATGTTCGTTTTAAACATTATGTCTGCTAGCAAAACACTAAAATCAACTCAAATAGCCAACCATTGGATCAAGATTTAATAAATTGTGGATACACCAGTAAAGATAATAACATACATTAAAAATGAATAGACTTTGTAAAAACACTAAAAGTTTTTGCAGGTATAACGTTAGGTAGAAAAATCGAAAAGTAAGGTGATATGTATACCATGATTCTGTAAAAAGTAAACAATTCATGTAAAAGTAAACCAATAGGTAATATGAAAAAAAAACCTGTTGTGTGGGAGTGATACATTTATGGACTTTTTTTTTTTGAGAGGGTCAACTCTTCCCCTCCCTCATGAATATTCTTTATTATTATTTGGATCAGGGTTCTTTTGTTGCAAGCAACAGAAACTAATTTAAATAAAAAAGATTTATGGAGCCATATAGGAGTAACTTACAGAATCAAAGGAATTACTGAATACCCAAGAGGACAGAAGAGAAACCAGGAAGGTTACAGAGATCTTAGAAACAAAAGTTCCCTAACCAACTCTCTAGGATCCTGCATCCTGATGGCTGGTTTTTAAATACCTTCCATCCATCCTTGTGTGCCTCTACTCAAGATTCAAATTATTGGAAGAGAGTATTTATCCAAAGAACATGAAAACAATCATTTGAAAAGATATATGCACCCTTATGTTCATTGCAACATTATCCACAATAGCCAAGACTGGGAAGCAACACAAGTGCCTATCAGTGGATGAATGGATAAAGAAGATGTGGTATATATATACACTGGAATACTACTCAGCCATAAAAAAGATGAAATCATGCCATTTGTGACAACATGGATGGACCTTGAGGGTATTATGCTAAGTGAAATTAGTCAGACAGAGAAAGACAAATATTATATGGTTTCACTCATATGTGGAAGATAAACAAACAAACATATAGGTAGGGAGAACAGATTAGTGGTCACCAGAGGGGAGGAGAGTGGGGAGAGGGCGAAAGGGGTAAAGGGGCATGTATGTATGGTGACCAATGGAAACTAGACTTTTGGTGATGAACACGATGCAGTCTATACAGAAGCCAAAATATAATGATGTATACCTGAAAATTTACATAATGTTATAAACCAATGTGACCTTAATTAAAAAATATATATATTGGAAGAGAAAATCTGATCATTCTAGCCTGAGTCAGGTATCCACTTTGTCCTTTGATTGGCAACCACATCAGAACAACCTGGAGCCAGGGAAAGGTACTTCCCTAAGGGAGCGAGTAGTGTTACCAGAAGAACAGGAGAAGGGTGCTGGGTGGACCAAAACAACAGTTCCATGAAATCTTACATCGTCTTTTCAATAAATTAGAATATTACTTCTTTTTTCTTATATTAAATGAAAATATGCTTTATTGTAGAAAATTTGCAAAATTCAGAAAAGAGTAAAGTAAGAGTAATGAAAAAGCAAGCATCCTTCATCACATTATCCATTACCCTGTATTAATTATCTATTGCTGCATAATAAATTACTCTTGAAACTAGAGTGACTAGAGACAGAAAGTAGATTAGTGGTTGCCTAGGGCTAGGGGGTGAGGGGGGGCAGGATGGAGGGACTGAGTGATGATAGCTAAAGAACACAGGATTTCTTTTTAAGGTTCTAAAATTGGATTGTGGTGATGGTTGCACAACTCTGAATGTACTAAAGCCAGTGAAACTTTAATGGGTGAATGTTATTGTATGTGAATTATATCTGAGTAAAGCTATATTAAAAAATATTAGGGTAACCAACTATCCCAGTTTGCCCAGGACTTACCTTGTTTTAGCATTGAAAGTCTCGTATTCCAGAAAACCCTTCAGTTCTGGTGAAATCTGGACAGTTGATCATCCTACTCAAAATTTAGCAGCTTAAAACAATAAACGTTTGTTATCTCACAGCTTCTCTAGATCAAGAATCCAGGAGGAGCCTAACTGAGTGGCTCCGGCTCAGGGTCTCTCATAGGTTGCAGTCAGGATGTCAGCTGGGGCTGCAGTCGTCTGAAGGCTTGCTTCAGGCTGCAGGATTTTCTTCCAAGCTTACTCGTGGTTTTAGCAGGAGGCCTCAATGCCTTGCCATGTGGGTCTCTATGGAGTACGCTCCTGACATGGCAGCTGGCTTTCCCCAAGAGCCTGTGATCTGAGAGAAAGACTAACATGGATGCTGTAGAGTCTTTTATAACCTAATCTTGAAAGTTGCACATCATCACTTCTGCCATATTCTACTGGTCATACAGATAACTCTGGAACGATGTGAGAGGGAACTACACAAGGATGTGAATACCAGGAAGCAAGAATCACTGGACTATCCTGGAGGCTGGCCCCCACCAACTATAATCCCACCTCTAACGCTATCAGCATTTTACTAACGTTTTGCTGATTTTTAAATTAAAATATACCCGTTGTGGAACGTATGAACAATTTAAGAGTACAGTATAATAGAAAAACATGT